CCCTTAGTCCCTCCATTCCAATAGATGTGGTGTTTTCTATGTGATACTTATGTACTCCCATCCCTCCCCTGGTCTGCTGCCTCAGGAGGGAGGAGGACAGGACCTGAAGGTCATGGAACAGGTCTGTGTCTCCGTGGAGCTCCAAGCACAAGTTTCCTGGCTGTCAGGTCCACTGCTGTTTGAGGTGACCGGAGCACAGCAAAAGGACTGTCCTCCCCCCAAAGCTGTGGTCCGTTTCCCTGCTGGGCCAGTGGAGTCCTGAGGAACCCTTATGCAAACAGAAGCAACAGTGTCTAAGAAATGAGGTCTGCTCAGCTCCAGTGATGCTGCAGCAGCAGAAGGCCCAGCACCCTGGTTCTGGGCACCCTTAGCCATACATTCAGCAAGCTGCCAATGGCCAAACGCTCCTGGCTGCTGTTGGAGCTGCCTTGTGTTTGGGGGTTTTCTGCCCAGTCAGGTGCTGGCTCTCTCCTGGCACTGGCTGGAGGGATTGCTGCCAAGGGGCTGCAGGTTTGCACTGACTGCTTGGCATTGATGGAGCCTTTTCCTTTCCTAGTGGGTTTTGCTTCTGTTGTGACTCATGTGGAAAATTTGTGTGGAAATGGAAGGGTAGTCCCTGAAGTGTCCTCTGTGTGTGGATGGATGTTTGGAAAGCCTTGAAAGCTGCTCAGTGCTGTGCTTGAGCTGGTGCTTTGCGGTTTGGTTTGTTTTACTTAGCTGTAAATCTGTGCAAGCTGCCTGGCTTTTTGGCTTGGTTAAACAATTTCTGAACATATGGGTGTTGTTAATCTTTGGGGTTGGATGGTGCTTAGTGATGTAGAACAGCCTTGCATGATGGTGCTCACCCTCTCTCTGGTGCACCCTGTGAAGTGAAATCATTATCACTAGAGCTTAACAACTTCTAAACTCAGAACACATTGGGGTTCTTTCTGCCCATCCTCAGACTTTCTAATTTAGGTGTCTCATGACCTCTAAACTGTCTCCTCTTGTTGCCTTTTTAGTCCATGTTGTCCTTTTGACTTGCTGTGCCCTCAAATTGCCTATTTGCAAAAACTCTTCCAAAGAGTTATTCTGTAGTCTGAGAAAAGCTGAGGAATGTACAGGGGGGTTGTCACATAAGTGCAGTGAGGTGGGGAAGGACAGAAACCCTTGGGTGGAGATAGTGGGGGAGCGGGCAGGTTGATACTTCTGAGTGCTCACAGCTGCATGTGGTGAGGTGGCCTGTAACCACGTTTCTCTCTGCACTCCTGTCCCTTGCAGGGTAACCTCTTTGATTTCCTGAGGCTGACGGGCTGGCGTGGGTCCAAAGTGCTCTACTTTGGTGACCATCTGTACAGTGACCTTGCGGTGAGTGAAATGTCTCTGCTCTCCAGTGAGGCGGGAGCAAGCCCATGTGGCTGCTGTGGCTGCAGCTGGGTTGGAGATAAGGCAGGGCCTGGTCTGAGTGCTCGTCTGTGCTGGGTGCTCTGCAGGCTGTCAGGGCACACTCAGGACACGTCAGCTTCCCCATGCTCTGTCAGGCACAGGCAAGCACCACATTTCAAGGTGATTCACACAGCTGATCCTGCTGGCCAGAAAATGGTTGTTACTGGCACAGGCCATGGATGGCTGTCCCCTGAGAATCCAAAATGGGAACGAGACCACTCTTCTAGGAACCAGGGTTGTGTTTGGCCTTCAGTCTTTATGTTGAATTCATGGTTGTTTTTTCTCCGTGACCTCCAGGACCTCATGCTGCGTCATGGCTGGAGGACTGGAGCCATCGTTCCTGAACTGGAGACGGAGATCCGGATCATAAACACAGAGCAGTACATGCACTCCCTGACCTGGCAGCAGGCTCTGACGGGGCTGCTGGAGAGAATGCAGGTAAACAGCTCCTGGCTGAGCAGGACAGGTAATGTGCTGCCTTCTGAGTCTGCATTTTGGGCTTAGCATGGGAATGAGGGGATGTACCATCTTGCTTGGTTCTCAAAAATATCCTCCTCCTGGTGCAGTGGGCTCTGAGTTTGTGAGTTACAGTGGAAACTGGAAGGAGCTGAGGTGTGGCCTGCAGGAATGATGTATGTGGTTCTGCTGCTGTCTTTGCAGATGTATCAGGATGCAGAGTCGAAGCAAGTATTGCTGGAGTGGATGAAGGAACGACAGGAGATCAGGTGAGCGTTGTCCCCCCTCACTGATAAAGTCTCTCAGGGCCTCTCAGGCCTCTACTGGGTCTGTTCTGTAACCTGCTGACCTGTGACCACAGTTTTATCTACAGAGCACCATCTCTTTCCTCTCAGGTCGCTGACGAAGAACCTGTTCAACCCGCAGTTTGGGAGCATCTTCCGCACCTTCCACAACCCCACGTACTTCTCTCGCCGGCTGGTGCGGTTCTCCGACATCTACATGGCCTCCATCAGCTGCCTGCTCAACTATGACGTGAACTTCACCTTCTACCCCCGGCGCACCCCCCTGCAGCACGAGGCCCCGCTCTGGATGGATCAGCTCTGCACGGGCTGCATGAAAACCCCCTTCCTGGAGGAGATGGTGCACATTCGGTGAGGGGCAGGTACTGCAGGCAGCAGCACGGCCGGGCCTGTCGTGGGGCCGCTCGGCAGCAGCACCTCTGTCCACCACTAAAGGGCGTTTGACACTTGCGTACATGTGTAGATGGTGTGTTTATTTTTTCCCTTCACTGGCTCCATCCCTTTCCCTGAGGTGCGTTGTAGGCTGCACAGAGCCTGGGTGCTTGTTCTCTGGCAGGGAGTCCTCCCTAGGAGCAGGTCAGCTGAAGAACTAATGAAGGTGGTGGGACAGCCACTCCCTGCTCTGTGCCCAGAGAAGTGGCTCAGACATGGAGCCCCACGTCTCCAGTGCTTGGTGAGTGCAACCCATGGGAGGGGTGACAAGGTGAGTCAGGGCTGAAGCTGCCCAGATGTCCTGGGACTGCAGTGTGAGTCATTCTGCAGGTGGACAGGGAGGGGTCAGGGCTGCCAGCTGGGCAACCAATAAAGCCCATCATGGATGACAAAGCATCAGCAGTGTTACCTGTCCAGAACTGGTACCAGCAGCCCTCAGCCCATTCCTGCTCCCCACCAGTCTGGTTTGTCCAGCTGGGGACTCTGGTAGGGAACTGTTAGGTAACTGTGCAGGATGTGCAAGCACAGGGTGTTGGGAGTAGGTCACAGGGTCTCAAATGTTGTGACACACCTGGTTTTTGAGTGAGTTTAGGGCTGTGCACTGTCAGTATTTTTGGCTTGGTGCCATGTGACATCACCATTTTGACAGTTGGTGTGGTCTGCTGTGAGTTGCAGAGGGATGGGAACTGTTAGGTAACTGTGCAGGATGTGCAAGCACAGGGTGTTGGGAGTAGGTCACAGGGTCTCAAATGTTGGACACACCTGGTTTTTGAGTGAGTTTAGGGCTGTGCACTGTCAGTATTTTTGGCTTGGTGCCATGTGACATCACCATTTTGACATGTTGATGGGTTCAGCCCTGCAGGGAAGGTTCAGGGTTGGCAGCAGAGGTGGTGGCATTCCACCTGTTCACTGAGATGTGGCCTAAGGTGGATGGAGGGGCTGCTGAGGTTGTCCAAGGAGGGTGCGGGTGTGAAGTGCTGCTGGGTGTGGTGGGTCAGAAAGGGGACTGTGGCCATGCAAAGCCATGTGCTGCCTCCTCAGGAGGAGGAAGAGCAAAGAGGTGCTAATAGCAATGTCAGAGCATATAGGATGGGACAAGGGTGACAGTCTGGAGGCCCAGGCAGGTGAGAGCTGCTTTAGGATGTGAGGTGCAGAAAGCGGGCTTTCACCTGGCTCGGGGCTCTGCTGGTCCTGGACAGGCTTCAGACTGCCCCAGGGCCAGGCAGGGCATTGGGAAGGGGTAGAGGGGCAGTTGAGGTGGGGAGGAGCTGTTGAGAGTTTGTGCCACTCTGCTGATTGGCCCTGGGAAATAGGAGAACATTGTGCCTTCGGAAAGATGGTTGGTGTGTGGGAAGTGATGGCTGTAGGATGAAGGGGTGGAGACATTGGTCCTTGTCCTCCTGCTCCTCCCCTCACTGCTGCACCATTTGCAGATGGCAATAAGGGTGACAGTGCCAGCTTGCTCGTGGGGCAGTCGGTGTTGAGGTGACAGGAAGGAGAGAGGGAACAGCGAATGGAGGCACTTCTTGTCCTGAGTGTAGTAGTGAGCAGGCAAGGAAAGGAGTGACTGCAGAGCGTGTCTGTGCAGCAGGTAAGGGCTGTGGGTTTGCTGGGCCAGGGGATTAGTGTGGGGGGAGCACCTGGGGCTTGTGAGCACTGGGCTGCTGCAATTGCTGGAGGGGCTGGGTGTTGTCAGTGTAGGGGCAGCAGAAGGAGAGGTTGGTGTGGAGGACCCTCTGCCAGGAGCTCTGACCCAGAGAAAGGTGCTGAAGTACAAGGTGTGTCAGCAACCCTCGGTGAGAGTCACAGACACAGACACATGCACACACACACATGCACACAGAGGTTCCCACACGTTCCTCCCTGGTGCTGTCAGTCTGTCACTTGTGTCTCACTGCCTCGTCTTTGTGCCACGTGCCAGCCTGTCACAGACGTTCAGGATGCCTTGCTCCAGTCTCAGTGGCCTGGACAATCACTGTTAACATGGCTGCTCTAATCAACAGCTGTAGTAGATGCACGTGGCATTTGTCTTTGTGCTGTGTGTAGTGTGTAGCTCAATAAACGTCTGCAGCATGTATAACTAACTGACTAACCAGCTCACTGCGGGGGGGGGGGGCAAACGGGGCATGTGGGGTGGTGACTGACTGATTGATTCGTACCTGACCGGGGGCAGTGTGAGGGTACAGGAGAGGGCTGCTGTGTCCCGGGGGCTGTCGCACATCAGCAGTGCAGGAGAGGGGACCGTGAGTCCCTGGGGGCGGCTGAACTGAGTGCCCTGAGTGCTGGAGGCTTTGGTGGACAGCACCTCGTACAGGGACGTGACGGGTGCTGGGCTGGGGGGTGAGAATGGGCGGGCGGGGGGAGGATCGGGGGCAGGCGCGGGCAGAGCCGGTGGCGCTGAGCTGTTTATTTCGCGGCGGGCCGGTCCGGTCCGTGCGGGGTCACTGCGGGAACCCGGGGGGGTCGGTGCTGGAGTCCGCCAGGGGCGGGTCCTGCGGGAGCACAAAGAGAGCGGGCTGAGGGTGAGGCGCCGTGAGGGGAGGGCGGGGCAGGGCGGGGCGGGGCGTGTCTCACGTGCAGCGGTTCGTAGTCGGGGGCGTGGCCGCCGTACAGCGGGTTGGGGATGGCCACGAGCGGCCGCTGGGGGCGGGGCCTGCCGGCGCGTGGCCCCGCGCGCGCCTTCCGCGGCCCCGCCCCCTCCTCCTGCTCCTCCTCCTCCTCCTCGTCCGCGCGCAGATCCGCCTGCCAGGGGAAGCGTGGGATTGGCTGGGCGGGGGGCGGGACTTGAGCCGTGGGCCCCGCCCCCGGTCCTCTGTTCCCGCCCCCTCGGTCTGGCCGGGCTCGCTGGCGCCCTCTTTCGGGTGCCCCGTCCCGGCGGATCCCCCCGGCTCCATCCCCCGCCCTCCCGCTCCTCCCGGCCCGCTCGTACCTGGAAATACCCGAACTGCCCCTCCTGCCGCCGCCTCCTCACGCAGTGGTAGGCGATGCCGGCCCCAGCGGCCAGCGCCAGGGCGAAGCACAGCGCTGACACCGTCCCGGTGGCCACGGAGCCCGAGCCCCGCGCGGCACCGTTCACCTGCTCGGAAACAGCGGCCCCGTCACGGCACGGCCCCGGCACAGCTCCTGCTACCGCTCCCCGATGTGGCCGCGGGCAGCCCACCCAAAATGGGCCACAGCAGAGGGCAAAGGATGGGGTCAGTCCTCGGGATGACTCAGTTGCCTCATCCCTGTTCCCTCATCCCCTCGTGCTGTTTCAGCACGTTCCTTCCCTGTTCGTGCCCTCGGACTCACCTGGCCGAGGTGAACGACAGGCGGTGGGATCCTCAGGGGCTCTGCAATCGCGTGAATGATGCCATTGAAAGCCACGATGTCCCACTCCACAATCATCGTGTCATTGATCCCTTTGGCGTCCTACAGAACAGAACACGGGTGATGACACCTCACCAGAAACCCTCCCAGTTGATCCCTGTCTCAGAAGAGATGTGGTGAAAAGTTGTGGGGTTCTTTTGCCCTCTGCCAAGGTTAAACCTACTGAGTGCTCTGTACTGTTGCCCACTGGGAGTTCTGATATGTGGAGGTCATGTCCTGACTGGGATGGGATGATGGTGCCTGTTGTGAGGTTGTAGCTGAAGAGGACAACATTGCTGGATGACACATGAAGCTTCAGTTCTTCTCCTGTCAGTGTCTGAAAATGCAACAGTGTGCAGGGATGAGAAACAGCTGAGCTGGTCTCACCCCTTCTCTGCTGCTGTGCAGCCCCCCTGGCCAAGCCCAGACTCCCTCCATGGCCACAGGCAGCTCCATTCATAGAAAACACAGCAGAGAACGACTATGCAGAGCAGCAGGGATTTGCTATCCTTAGGAATTGTCAAAGTTCAATTGGAGAAGGCTCTGAGCAACCTGACCTAAATCTTCTGAAGGAGTAGTTGGACTGGAGACCGCCAGTGGTCCTCTCTGACCCGCATTCCTCCTCCTCTCCCAAACTATTTCACACCATCATGCCAGCTTTGGCAACACCTGCTCTCCTCTGGGGCTCTGATAGTTCATCCCAGGCATTCAAGCAGCCACTCATCCCTGCTTGCTTACCTCATTGCCTGCAAAGCCAGAGTTCAGAGGGACAAACAGAGTTTTGGGAGCGGAGTCATCAGACAGGTACATGAAAAAATCCAGTCCTTCTTCTGTGTCATTGGCAAAATTGAGCAACATCTGGAAAAGATGGGAGATCTTCCCCATGACCACACTGCTGGCAATGCAACACTACTGGCTTCCCCAGCCCAGGAACTCCCCAGCCCTGGAATGAAAACCTCTCTGTGTTTGTACTCTCTACCCCACACACAGACCAAACCACCACTCCTTCCTGTTAGGACTCATCCCTCCCTCTGCCTTGTTGCCAACTGCTGGCTATTGAAGAGCCTGGAGAGCATCCCTTACGGAATAGAAGGTGGAGAAGCGGTCGTTGTCTGCGAGCACATTGGGGAGTCTCCCGCTGCACCAGTACCCATCTCCCACAAACCCCTCACGGCAGGTGCAAGTCAGATCTGCAAAGGAAAACCGAGACGGGACTTGACTCGCCCATTCCAGTTACACCGACCCTCCCTTCCTTGGCTTCTGGATACCCCAGCACGTTCCCTCTGGACATGGGCATGGGGAGAGGGGGATATGCCCACCTGCCTGTGCCTCATGCTCCAAGGGCAGTTCTGTGCCTGCTGCCATGACACAGCCCTTGTGCCCAGCAGGACTGTCCCCAGGCAATGTGCTGGCACCACTCACCCTTCTCCCGGTAGCAGAACGCATCCCAGGTCTCGCTCAGGTTGCTTCGGGAGCCATAGTCCACAATGCCCACGTGGTTGGACCCACAGCTGGGGTTGGGGTAGGCTGTGGGGTATCCGGCTGTGCCATTGTCCAGCCAACCCACCAAGCACAGATGGAACCCCATCTACCAAAGGAAAATCAATGATTAGATTAAAAATAATATCTCTTGCCCAAGTTTTTTTTCCCTGATGCACATTCCTGTTGTGCAGCCTTATCCAACATCCCCCCCAACACCTAAAGTGTGGAGGCACTGCCACAGGTCTCATCCCAGTGTGACTGGGAGACCCACCAGCCCTCCTAGCCCATCAGGGCTGCTGATGGAGCAAACAGTGCCTGGCTGAGGGGATGAGAGGTCACCCACCCACACGTCACCTTCAGGAGAAGCACTGCCTGTCCCAGCCCCACGAGGCAACAGAGCCAGCCCTGCCCTGACCTGCTGTGCTGCCGAGAGCTGCCGGAACGTGGCCAGGGAAGCGCCTTCTGCGGCACAGGCCTCCTGAGCCTGCTCGTAAGTGAAGTCATACTTTTTTCGGGGTGACTGCAGGTGAAACACGCCCATGGTCTTATCTGCAAAACACCAAGGCCCAGGAGCATCAGCACAGCACAGACTGAGCCCCCTCCCCGGGCAGCCACATGGTCTGTATGTGAGCACAGGCAGCACTGCTGGCCAAGGGTGGGATGTGGCCAAGGGACAAGCGAGGGAGAGGCTTCCCCTGAGCCTCTCGCCCTCCACAGTGAAGTTGGTGCTTCCTGGCAGTGTAACCCACCAGAGGCCATCTCACATCACATGGGACCAGATAAGGATGGTTTGTCCTCCCCGTATGACACGTAGAGAAAAGGGGAATGTGAAAACCAGATCAAGCTACAGAGACGAGTCCCTGTCCCCTTGTCCATCCCACCCTCCAGCTCTCCCGAGGGGTGCCCTAGCCAGAAGGTGAAGGATGATGGAGCATGACCTCTCCATGGAACACCATCCCGGGCACTGTGGGGGTGAGCACACTCACCATGGAAGTGCAGGTCAGTGCAGATGGCCTCCCGATGGCACTGCCCGTTGTCCTCCAGGCACCGGTCCGTGGGGGGCACGACCTCTTCCAGGCACTGGATCCCATCTCCCACATAGCCCTGCTTGCACTCGCAGCGCCGCTCGTTCTGCAGCACAAAGGAAGGGTGGCATTTGTGTGACTGCAAACACACAGATGCCAGCTGGGGATCCTTGTATCCTTGTGAAGACAGGGATGAGCCTTCAGAAAGCCTCTACAGCCTAACCAGACTCTGACAAAGCTATGAAAGGCCACATGGCCTCTGTAGGACAGAGGACACACCCAGAAAATGTCACACTGTCTCCTTGTCACATGCTGTTTGAGCTGAGCTTTGAGGTATGTGGCTCATGATTCTTGCACTACATCATGGTCCCAGTCCCATCTTCTGGCCTGCAGTGAGCAGCTCTGGTTCCTCTGCAAAAATGGCCAGCGTTGTCCTTGAAGGACCATTCCAGAAGCCCCAAAACAGCACAGGAATGCCACAACTGACGCATCTTATGCCCCTTAGACACAGGAATGGGGGACAAATGGCCTCAGCATAACACCCCCAGGACCATCCCCGCAGCCAGGCAGCAGACCAAGGGCGTGGTGTGGTGGTGAGAACCTGCAGGATGAGCACAGCAGCTGAGGGGACCGGGGAGGAGGGGCAGGGGACTGTAGTAGTGGGGACACTGTCACATCAGTGTCCTCCAGCAGCCTGAAGCGTCCCAGGGCAGCCACCTGGGATGGCAAGAGGATCTCCCCGGCGCAGGGGCCACGCTCACCGGGCCAGTGCTGATGCAGGAGGCGTGCTGGCTGCAGTCCCCGTTCCTGCCGTCCGCACACCTATCGATGGGGTCACACACGTAGCCGTCGCCGCTGTAGCCGGGATCACAGGCGCAGGAGACGTTCACGCCCAGCTGGGAGCACTGGGCGTGCCGGGCACACCCCCCGTTGTCCTGGCTGCACATGTCGATCACTGCGCGGGGGAAAGCGCTGGGTTAACTACACCACCTCATGGGGGTCGGTCCAGCTTCCCTGACCACCACCCCTCCAGCCCAGCCCCCGTGGCTCCCCTGTACCTGAGCACACTCTCCCGTCCCCCTCGTAGTGCAGGTCGCACTCGCAGAGGTTGCCGGCGCGGCAAACGGCCTGGGGGTGGCACGGTGGGGAGCAGGTGGGGGTCACCACTGAAACCAGAGCACACACGGGTCGGGATGATCTAAGGGCTGTGACACGGGCACGGCTGCCATCACCACCACCTGCCCC